GTAGCTGTTTTTTTTTGTTTGACGTCACTTCCCAGGAGAAGGTTGGGCAGGAACAAGAGCAGATGTGTTGAGGGTGCATGCACACTCCAACGGTCACGTGAGTGGGGAGGGAGGAAGCGCACACTGGCACACATGGGGTGGGGCTCGGGGGAATAAATAATGAAGGAGGAAGTCTGTTGTTCCCTTTCTGAAATAGCTTCCCCACTCTTGCATATGCTAAGGATCTCCCTGATGTTTGAGTTAGTGGGCCCCACATAGTCAGGCCTAAACCCCGTTTGATTACTGGTTATTCCTGAGTGGTACATGAGTATTTTAGGGGAGGTTGATAAATCTTATATATGTGGCATATATGATTGTCTTCCCAAATGGGATTGGAGTGGCTGGGTCACAAACCCTGGCCCGGCACTCCCTCCACTGTCCTTGCAGATTTCCCACCAAAGTTCCGATCTCTTCTTCATATTTAATGGACATTTTTTCTGGGTACAATATATTTGGTTGACTGTTGTGTTCTTTGAGTGTTTGGTATATGTCATTCCACTGTCTTCTTGTTCCCATTGTTTCTGCTCAGAAATTAACGTTTAATCTTATTTGTTCTCCTTATAGGTTATTATTTGCTTCTCGCTAACTGCTTTCAGTATTTTCTCCTTGTATTTGGTTCTGACAAATTTGACTATGATATGCCTTTGGGTTCTTCTTTTGATGTCTATTCTATATTTTGTTTTGTCAGCTTCTTGACTATATATCCTCTCATTCTTCATTATTCCTGAGGAGTTTTCTTCTATTAATTCTTCCACATATTTTTCAGTGCCTTTACTTGCTTCTTCCTGTTCTGGGATTCTGATTATGCCCAAGTTATTTATTTTTTTGTTTATGTTGGCCCACATTAATCTTGAGTTTTCTTCTTTTCCTTTCCTTTTTGATTCTGCTTTTTGTTCTGGCCAATCTTTGGTGACAATTCTCTATTTTATTTCTCTGGTTCTGTGTTCCATCTCTTCAACTCTTTTCATGTGTCACTCCATCATGTTGACAGTATCTGAAACATTAGTCCTCATATTTTTTATTGTGGTTTCTTGTTTTTTCCAGAGCCTAGAATGACTCATTTGTTTTAAATGCATTGTTTTGGAATTTTTTTTAAAGCTACTCCTGGATTTTGCTTGTAGTGTCTTGTAATTCTTCATGTTTATCCTTCACCTGTTGAAAATATTCAGTCATCGTTCTTTTAAATTCTGTGTCAGAAGGTTCCATTAGGCTTCAGGAAATCCGTTTATAATGTGTCACTTTTGGGGATGACATCTTTCTTTGGGCTTATGTAAGGTAAGTAGTAGCCTGCTTCTTATGTGATATTGCTGTGGGAGAGTTTTTCCATGCCTGAGGTGATAGCAGGTTCTTGATCTGACATCACTCCTCCAGAAGAGGATGGGGCAGCTACCTTGCCTGTGTTCCTCTCTGAACTTCTGACCAAGGGAAGATTTTCTTAAGTCCAGGTGAGAAAAGGCCTGTGAAAGAAGCTTCTTCTGTCAGACCAGTGTTGTATTGGGGCCATTCCTAGGAATTCAGGGCTAAAGGCAATTAATTGACTGGATTGGGGAGATGCAAGGTGGAGACACACATAGGGTGGGTGTGAGCTCAAACTTATGCAGGATGGGTACATGTGCAGATGCACACAGTACTGGCATGCACAAAGACATGTACAGGGCAGGTGCACACACACAGAGATGCATGTGGCAGGGAGAGCACATGCAGACACACACAATGGGGATGTGTGCAGTGACCTGAATGGAAAATCAGGAATCATTGGTTTTCCCCTTGAGAACTTGGTCTACCACCTCACTCTAGCTCCAGCTGTCTCACTCCCTCCTGCTTGAGCTTAAGGGGTCCCACATAGTCCAGCAAACAGCAGCAGTGCCCACTAAGTACCTCACTCAAATTCTAGTTGTCATATTGGTGGTCCCAGCGGGTTGCTTACTCAAATTTCAACTGTCCAACCTACTGCCCTGTGGCTCTGCTCTTGAAATGACCTTTTTAACTATGAAAGTGACCCTGTTCTTTCTCACCTTTTAATCTCCAGCATAATATATCCTATGATCACGGGATTGAAAAATGTCCCATGCCAAACCATCTCATTTTGCTAATACCCAATATGTCAATATTTTTGTATTCCATTTCTTTTTTTACAATTTCTATTTTTAGCATATTCAGTCTTTCACACATTCCATGTACTAATTGTTAATTTCTTCTTACAGCTATTTCTCCTCCTTTGTGTTTCCAAATTTAAGGGCTCAGCTTCAGTTGCCATATCTGTTCATCTACTCTAAGTGTGCTCTGCTATACATAGGGTTTTTGAAGGCCTGTTATATTTTGGAAGTGAATGGCCAATCCTACTTCCTAGTCTGTCTTAATTTGGATGTTTAGTGGTAGAACAATATCTGACAGACAAGCATTTTTACGTAGCAGATGAAAGATACTTCCTTTATAGAAATACCAAATACCTTCACTGTCTCCCCCTTCTCCCAAACATATGTGACGTATCTCTTCCCTTTATCTTCTACATTCCCTCCTTTCCCTAGCCACCTCTAAGTATGGTCACAAGTCACTTCTGTGATGCCTTGTACCACACACTGCTACTGGTCTCTCACACTATTGTCTATCTCTTTTTTAGGAGTATGTAAGTCTAAATCACATGTACTAATTTCAGGGAAATATTTTTGCTTGAGGCAGCACTGAAGAAAGATCCTTGCCACAGAATTTCTGTTACGTTTTGTGACTTACTGTTTCTGTTTACATTGCTGACACAAAGTGATAATTCCAACATCTGGATAGGTCTCTCTTTGATCTGATATGATGTAGGTTTGAGACTGAAGATATCCTTTCCTGCAAGAAGAGGTTAAGGTAGCAGATGCACTTCTGGGAGAAAGGTATTACCTGATCAAGGAGATTGTATAGAGTTCTCAGATCCTATCCATTGTGACTCTGTGGTTACCCATTGCTGTATGAGGAGACCAACCAATTTGAAACCCATTAAAGTCAGAAACAATAATGACTCCTGAATGTGAAGAAATATCAACCACCAACCACAATGAACTTTGTGCAACCCACATGCCTAATCTTTGTAAATAAACTCAATCTTAGCTTTCCCTCAAGGTCAGAACAGTTTGGGCAATAGCCAACATTCTTGACCTGCATGTAATAAAAGTTTGTTAATCTCCAATATTGGCTGAATATTTAAATTGTACATTTCTGCCAAAACAGACTGAAATGGTAGAAAGTTTCATTTTACTTGGATCCATAGTAAATACTCATTTTGATAGCACTCAAGAAATTAAAATTTGTTATATTGGTCAAAACTTCTGAAAAAGACTTCTTTAAAATGCTACAGATTGAGGATGCCAGTGAACAGACCAAAGTGCATGTGACTCAAGAGTTGACAATTTCAATTGCTTTGTATGCATGCAAAAGTTGGACAATAAACAGGAAAGACTAAGAATTGATTCTCATTAACTGCAGTGTTGAGGGGAAGGGGGAACAACAAAAAATCTTATGGTGACTGCCTAAAGAGAAAAAAATTGTCTTGAAGCTAATACAACCAGGATGGTGTTTAGAGGCAAGTACAGTGGAACCTTCCATAACATGGATGAAAAGCTGTCAGGAGGTGCTAGTCCTTGAGGGGAAAAAATCAGGCCAGAAAAGGTCAATGAAAAAGAAATATGGCAGTGCAAAAGAGGAAATTCATTCAAAGAGAGTAATATCCTTAATAATATTATTAGCACAGTGAAAGCAACAATGGGCTAGAGAATTATGGTAATGGTGCAGGATAGAGAAAGGTTGTTAATAGGGATTTAAAAAAAAAAAACAACAACACGAAAACAAACCCTGTTGTTCATGGGTTGCAGTAGTAAACGTGATCGCACTTAAAAATAATAGCATACACAACTCAACTGTGTGACTGTGTGAGCCCTTTTCTTGCTATCTTTCTCTCTCTCTCCCTCCTTCCTCCGTCTCTCCCTCCCTCTCCTTTCTCTCTCTTTAGCTGGTTTTCCTCCTTTAGAGAACTCATCCTAAGAAAAGGAAATCAGACCAATGGCTCAGCAACACCTTGCTGGTCATGAAAACTGGAAGCAGGAACCTTCTGGATTGTATGGACTTTGCATTCCCATTTGACAGTTTTTGTGTTTTTAAGATAAAAATAAATGGTTTACAATTATAGCTTACAGTTATTCACATCACAAGAATATGAAAATCGCCCAAATGTCCGACAACAAGCGAATGGATTCAGAAATTGTGGTATACTCACATGATGAAATACTGTGAGCTACTCAGGAGCACTGATTTTGAAAAATAGTGCATAACTTGGGAGAGACTGCAGAGCATTAGACTGAGTGAACTAACTCAGTCTCATAAGGATAAGTACTTCATAAGACCATTAATGTAAAAATAGTAAAACATATAGAATCCAAAGTGGGAAGGGGTGGGAGCATAGGGATGAAGTTGAGCAAGGGGGAAATCATAGGGTAGCACAATTTGGTTGGTGGAGGGAGAGGGGAAAAGAAAATGGGAAAGATCCAGCAGCATCTGAAAAGATGGGATAGTTGTGGGCATAGTCCAATGGTAATTAATTCTATAAAATATAATGAATGAAGGTGTATGAAACACAATATGAATGTAGTATGAAACATAATACATATGAACTTTGTATTCAAACCAATATAAAATTTAAAAAAATTATTTTACATCTACTCACTTACTTATTGCCGTTCAGTCATAACTGACTCACAGCTCACCCTTCATAGGGTTTCCAAAGCTGTAAATCACATGGAAGGCGATTGTCCATCTTTCTCTGAGCAGTCAGAGAAGCATGGCATTTGGATTAACATATAAACTTTCTGCAGACTAGGCCACTTATCAGCTGATTAGAATCATGATTTTCACTTTAATGTTTTAAAAATTACTTTTGTAGTTTTGTGAAACTCTTGTAAGTATTAATGTTTGTTTTGTGTTTTCAGATGGCTACCCTAGGGAAGAAATGATTTACAGATGGAGAAAAAATTCAGTTGAGGCAGCTGACCAGAAATCATGGCGCCTTTATCAGTTTGACTTCATGGGACTCAGAAACACCACAGAAACTGTTACCACATCTGCAGGTAGGAATTAAAGAAATATAGCTATGAAATGAGTGAGGGTTGTTTTCAAATACATTAATTACAGAGAAACATACAATTAATGAGGAGTTGTTTTATGTATATATATTTAATTAACAGTATTAGAGCACGCATTGCATTGAGGTGATATTTAGGGCATATATCTAGTTTAAAAGTGAAAATATTTTTCTTTTTTTATTTTATTTAAATG